ACCCTTTTTTAAGGCAATCCCACATCGGACCGAGCCCCAGTAGCCTTTATCTCTCTTCGCCAATAGGACCCTTTTCTAAGGCAATCCCACATCGGAAGTGAGTCGTCTTCCCCTGCCATATAAGTGAACACTTCCTATGGAGGTAGAAATCGCTACGGATCTCATCCCTCCACTTGAATGATTCCGGCTGACCTGACGGCACCGAGCCCCAGTAGCCTTTACCTCTCTTCGCCAATAGGACCCTTTTCTAAGGCAATCCCACATCGGGTACCCACTAGGCACCTCCGATCAGGTCGTTAGTAGGTACCCCTCCATAGGAAGTGTTCACTAGCCTTTACCTCTCTTCGCCAATAGGACCCTTTTATAAGGCAATCCCACATCGGGTACCCACTAGGCACCTCCGATCAGGTCGCTAGTGGGTACCCCTCCATAGGAAGTGTTCACTTATATGACATGGCAGGGGGGGAGACGACTCTCTTCCGATGTAGGATTGCCTTAGAACTATTGGCGAAGAGAGGTAAAGGCTACTGGGGCTCGGTGCCGCCAGGTCAGCCGGAATCCTTCAAGTGGAGGGATGAGATCCGTAACGATTTCTACCCCTTACAAAAAGGCGCCTTTTTGTAAGGGGTAGAACCCTCTACTAAGGATTTCGACTTGACCTGGGTTAACCAACGCGGATGACCTCCAGTAGCCTTTACCTCTCAGTGCCGCAGGAGCTTCGTCCCACATCGACTGAGAGTCGTCTCCCCCCCGCATATAAGCCCTTGCACTCAAAGGAGAAGGTACCCACTGAGAGGTAAAGGCTACTGGGGGGTCGCCCGCGTTGGTTAACCCAGGTCAAGCCGAAATCCTTAGTAGAGGGTTCTACCCCTTACAAGCACAAACTAATGAAAGAACAAAATCATGTTACCTAACCCATACACATCCTTTTGAACCATTACAGTTCTTCTTAATTATGTATGAAGGGAGGAGTCCTAGGAAGGGAGGGTTGGGGTTAGAGCATGTAAACCCATCTTAGAATAGCTGCAGCTTTTCCTCTTAAGGTACAGCTTTGAGACAGCTACAAATTTGCAATTAAACTGGCCCAAATGGGTTTTCTCAGCTTGAAAACTCCCACCACATAAAGTCATAATAAATTTCAACTCAACTCGACAAAGCATTGTTCCAAATATCTAAGTTAGGGTTCAAAATACATGCTCGGCAATTTGGCCCCTCCACACATACTTGTGCATTGTTGTAACCCAGCCAAGCCATTAGTGAGCCCAAGAAATCCTGTTCCACCATCCTGTTACCTCTGTTTATGCATATGCCCATACACTTCTGTACAGACATTCTTTTGTATAAGAAAGCTAAGTGTAGGTTTGTGTTTTCGCTGACCTGAGAGATGAGCTCGGAAGTTCCCATTTGGCACATATTCATACACGAGGAAGACCCTACTGGCAGTAGATTCGTCTTGCCCACTACCATCAATGCAATGTCCCAAAAGACTAACCAGATGTGGGTGGCGAAGCTTTGAAAGCAGATCCAACCGCATTTTAAGGTTTCGAATTGAATATTTTCTGAGCAACGTAAGAGATCTAACTGCAACATAAGTCCCATTCTCTAATCTCCCCTTGTAAAGCTGAAAAGATGAAGAAAGAATGTTATATACAGGTCCTTAGGAATCAAAGCTAAATGTTAGTAGACTAAATAACTGTCCTATGTAATCATTTATCATGCAGCAGTTATAGCATAAGTTAGTAGTCATATCATATGTCCAGAAGAAAGAAGTCCTTGATCATATCATATAAAAGCAAGAACCACAATACAAAAGAAACAAAACTATGTTCACTCAAATATTATGTATGGAGACTCACATTCACACATCATATGTTCCCTCTTTTTTTTGTTATGATTCGTCGTTGGTTTTCAACTTTTCATAATGATAAATAACACACTCATGTTGTCACTGTGAGTGCCAGAACAATAGAAACACCATCATGAAAGGATTTAATAGTCGATAAGTCCTATTAGATTTTTCGAAAGGTACCTTCCCAATTGAGCCTTCACCCAAAAATGATGACTGATTAAAATTGTTCGTGGCTTCTTCTAATTCTTCCAAGGGAAACACTCGACCTGCTATGGAACCTTGTGACCCTAATTTTGCTGCTTGAGATATGATCCCTGAAGCAAATAGGAAAGTGAAGGAATGTATGTGAAATTGGTGTCCTTTAGAGCAGGACATAATGTGCAATTTCAACTATAGCGAAAAGAAACTACATTATACTCCAAGTACTGCTTACTGGCATTTGCAAGGAATTCAGAGGAAATCCCCGAAGTGGAATTATCTTGCACAATCTTTGGTGATGTATGCTGCTCCATGCACCCTCGTGAGCGATATCTCCTGCACAAAATAATAAGCCCAAGTGCCAAGAGTACCATAATAATTACAGAACCCCCAATAACACCAACTAATACCCTATTGCTTCTCCCCTTGATCGTCCCTTCTCCATATTGGCTTCTTTGCAGTATGACTCTGGATGCTGATGTTGGGTGTCAATGGACAAGCAATTTCCACCAAACTTAACAATTCTATTATTTGAAGTAGTATCCAAGCAAGAAGGAAGTCTACCTACCAACCTGTTAGAAGAAATATCAACAAACCCAAGTTCATCCCCACAACTTAAATGGTTAGGAAGTAACCCACTTAGCTTATTGGATGCCAAATTTAAGTAGCTGATGTTTGGCAAAGAGAATAACACGTCCGGTGGTGTTCCAGTGAGAAAATTGTTTGATAGATCAAGGTGCTGAAGCTGATATAATTCCCCAAATTGTTCTGGAATCTTACCTGAGAACGAGTTCTTGCTCAAAAGACCAGTAGTCAATCCTTTGGGCAAGGAAGGTAATTCAGAATCCAAATGGTTCTCCCTTAAATCCAGCAAATGTAAACCAGATAAGGTACTCATATCAGGTAAGTTACCAGAAAGCTCATTGTGAGACAAAGCAATGCCAGTGAGTGTCATAATTCTGCATATTGAGGAAGGAAACTGACCCTTCAACCGGTTGTTCTTCAAGCTCAAAACAGTGAGGTTTGTCAGTGAATCCAACCAATCAGGGACAGTGTCATTGAAGAAATTCCCATCAAATATCAAAGTATGAAGTTTCACTAGTCTAGATATCTGAGGAGGAATAGAACCGAACATAAAATTTGAACTCATATCCAAAACTTCAAGCGAATATAGCCGATGAATTTTATCAGGAAGGGGACCCCAAATCCCCAAAGACACCAAGCCAAGGACCCTTAAGCTAGTTAGCCTTGTCAAGGTAGTGACAAATGAATCAATGGAGAAACTCTTGGATAAGGTTTGGTTGGGAACTGCAGATCCATAAAATTCACTAACCTTGCCAAGCTTATCTCCCATAATTTTGAGCTCGGAGACAGAATTGTTTTGGCATGTGATGCTCATATGAGGGGTTGAAGCCAAGTTACACAAATCACCATTGTAATTTTCCCATATGTCCAATGGCACAGGGAACTCCAAATGCTTCCTCAGCTGGAGAAGAACTTGGGATTCATAAGTTTGTAATTGATTTGTCCTTGAGATAAAGAAAACCCATGAAAGAAACACTATCGCAAACAAGCTTGAACTCCCCATTTTACAAGTTGCAAGTAATGGCCCTTATATTTCAAAGTGCTTAATAAAACCCCAGGAAAGTAGCAGTTCCATTGACTTCGCCTAAAATGTAGTACAGGCTAGTAACTCAACTTTAACAGTACAATTAAAACAGAATTGAAAAACCATTAAAGGCCTAAATACAAGAACATGCCAGAGAGGGAAGGAAATTCAAATGGGAAGACAAGCAACGCGTGCTTATCGGATGATATTGAATGCTTGGAGCAAATGTGGTCAAAATCCCAGGAAACAAAAACAAGGGGACACAAAGAAACAACTTATGGTACTCACCCAGAGAATGTTTTTCTTATATGTTTTCCAATAAAGTTGAGAACAAGATAAAACCGAAAGAGAGAAAAACCAGAGACAGTTGTAGACAGAGAAACCCTTAGAAGGTGTTGGGTACCAGTGGGTTGCTATGAATACTTGGATATCTGTGTTGTAGGATCAAAAAAAGTGGATTAAATTGGGGTAGTTGAGAACAGAGTCACAGACAGAAGCATTTACTAGTGGTAACATTGAAGAAGGTGGTGGTGGTCGAGTATTTATCGCCGAGGTCTCTGACATTGATGGGGTCGGTTCCAGTTTGTCTCGCAGAGGACAAGATTCTTTCTGCTAATGAAGGAGAATGGAAGGGATAACTGAACTACGGACTAGTGGGGAGATAATAAAAAAACCGATGAGCAATTTGTCTGTTTCCGGTTTACTGTTGATTGTCGTCTATATCCTAAAATTGATTTGAAATTACAGGTATGCCATCATATGTGTCTTTCCTCTCTCTTTTTATTATTATTTTTTAATGGAACATAGCCACTTTCCACTTATTTTTGGGTAGTAATACCTACAATTACGTACAAACTCGAGGTATCAATTAAAACTATAAAATATTAGTAAGAATCGAATCCCTTATATTCGGGATTACTATTTATCCAAGTACACAACCCCACGTGGTTTGGTGACTTATTAATTAAATTTATTGAACCATTATATAATAATATGATAAACCCAATTAAAAAAAATCAGCTTTTCTAGTTTCTGAGAACACCTTTTTTTTTTTTTATTTATCTATTTTGAACGAATTTTAATTTACCCACCTTGAAACGTGGATGGGAGGATGATATTGGTATGTTTGAAAAATATCACATTTATTTTTAGTAATACCAAAAATAAAATATTGTAGCCAATCACATCGCTGCCAGCTTAACGGCTAACTTGAGGCAAGTAATCCAACTAGTAGAAGGAAGGGCTAAATTCTGACCAGGTAAAAAAGGTAGAGGATATTGTTGGAAGTTGGGCTGATTGTGGCAGATGGGTCCATGGCTCCAAACAGCAGGGCCCACAGCCCACTGTACAGCCTGTACTCCTGAACATGAGAGCCTGAGATGAGACCACGTAACAGAAGAAAGAAAGAAATCCCTTTTTCAAACTTTTAGAATCCGATTACGGCCACTCTCACTTAGGTCGCGTGTCTGTTTGATTAATCACTAGGTTGCCAATCTAAAATAAGGATAGATATCAACTTCAGCATATTTTCTCTTTAAAGTATATCATTTATTATTAATGAATGAGAGACTCACTTACATACAATGAGTCTCATATAAATACATGATAAATAATGTGTCTCGAAGAGAAAGTATGTTGAAATATATTTCATTCCCTAAATTAGGGAGCGTATGTGACTCCGGTAAATTGGGTGGATTTTGAGATTAATTTGAGGACAAAATGTGTGTTATACATAGCAATCATGGGCTGAACTCTGCTCTTAAATTCAACCTGAACCCTATTACGAATATGTCCAAGTTTAAAATCTTGAACTTAAACTTAACTCAAATTACACAGCTTAAGTTGAAATTTGATTTATTTTAGATTTCATTATTATACTAATGGAGTTAGAATTCAAATTCATTCATACAAAATTTGAGTTTAGCTTGAATTGAACTTGAATTTAATTTTCAGTAATACATCTCAAACTAAAATTCAGGTCTAGCTTTGACTGAAATCACAATTATAATTTAAGTTGGATTTGAACCCGATAATCCAATGTCCTAACCCTAGTGTTATCCGAATTCAAATTTGGGTTGAAGTTTTTTTGTTTTAATCCAACCTAAATATCAAACACAAATTATCCAAATACTAAATATTTTGAGATGGGTAATACAACATAGATCTTATTTAGCAATTTTATTATTCTATGTCATTAGATTAACAAAGCATCTTCCTTTTGAGATAAACTCGTATTGAATTTGAGTTAGTTAATTTGACATTGCATAGAAAGAAAGTGAACAGAGCAATCTCTTCCACATTAGGGTGGGGCTTCTGGTAAATAATACAAAATCACGCCCCTAAAAAGCACAATACCAGTTTGGGTGATTGATTATAATGGAGCAATCAACGAGTGCTTTTCAGCACAGACAAAGAGGGATTTTGGGGGGTCCAATTTAACCTGGTGGGGGTTACACTTATTTTGTTTCGATTTTGGCACCTTGTGATTAATCAGTCAAGATTCTTAAATCCACATTTTATATGATTCGAAGGGACCCACGTCTTGATTGAATTAGGAGGGATTTCAGGGTAGGGGTTCACTTTTTTTTTTTTTGCTTTTAAAAAAGGGGCTGCATCCTACCTTATGCCTATTTAATTTTAGGATTGAAACGGAAAGAAATTGAAGAGTGAGTGAGTCGATATTGGATTTAACTCTGCCCCCAAATGAAACATAAGGCAGAAGAAAACATATAATGACTTTAATAGTATTGAGATAACGCTGATGCATTATTGGTTGTAGATTAAATTTTCTTGATAAGTAAAGTATTTTTATTTCAGACTTCAAGACTTGCACCGCATACGATAGTATGTTGAGTCGCATAGCTCTATTCATATTGTCAAGCACTATATTTTTTTAAATTTTTTGATACTTGAGTTAATATAAGAGGATGTGTACCTATTTTTCTTGTGTTTCAATTGAACACAACGAATTGATTGAGTAGAGATTTGCCAAATAGAGTTTTAATCGACACTTGATGAGAGACATTTGTTGGATGAATTATATCTTTTTCTCATCACAAGTAGATTATCATGCCAACATCGAGAAAGATTAACAAATCATATAGGCATCATGGCTTGTCTCTAAATGTAGAGCAGGTACTTTGGATCCAATGAAATTTTGGCATGGTCATTAGTATATTATAGAGGAATATTAGGTACCGTGCACGTTATTAACGGTCATGTGGAAAGTAACTCGTACGATTTTAGGATGGAAACAAGAGACAAAAACAGACAATGATTCCCAGGAATAAAGAAGATTACCACTTCAAATTCAACATACAAACCATATCACTATTGTCCGAAAGTGTAAGACCATGAAGAGGTTTTTTTTTTTTTTTTTTCCATCTACAAGACTATAACTAAAGATAGCAGTGGACCGTAGCGGAGACGAAAGGTGTAGGGGTGTCAATGGGCCGAGTTATCCACGGATCTCGTTATCTGATCTGAAAAAATAAGTCCGATAGTTGGCCCGCCTAAGCCCGAACCCAATATCCTTTAAAAAAGGGCTTGAATTTTTTCAATAAGGTCCAACAAACCCACCCAGAAAAGCTCGCCCAATAAGTGACGGGCTGGGTTGCGAGTAGCTAACCCCTACCCGAAGCCCGGCCTGCCACTCGCCCGAGTACGGGCTTGGGCTTATACTACCCAAGCCCGGCCTAAAAAAAAATTCGCGGGCCAGGCCAGACAGCCCTAGAAAGGTGTAATCTTCATTCCTGTATTAGCTTAAAAAAAATGTGTCCATCCCTAATTCACCTCGTTAATGAGTATAATTTTCATCTTCATCCTCATCTGTAAATAAATTTGTAATCCCTGCTTCGTCCGCCACCTTCACCTCCACTCCACCCCTCGTTCACTTTACGCACTCAAGCCCAAGCCCAAGTCAATATAATTTAAAATTCTAAATAAATCTAATATTCTAAATAATTTAACATAATTATAGAATTCTATAACATAATTAAAAATTTGTCATTTACAACATAAATATAATCAAAACATTGTCTAAAACATAATTTAAAATAATATAATTAAAAATTTGTCTTCCTTGTAAATCCAACACAATATTATACAACATAACATAATGTAACATAAGATAATCCAACATAAAAAAATACAAATACACAAAGATATACAATTTTATAAGCCAAAACCATTAAAAAAAAAACAAAACAATTTTTTTAAAAAAATTTATTTAATAATATGTAAATTTGTATTCACAACATGTATATAATAATAATAATAATAATAATAATAACGGATAAAGCGGAGAGGGGCGGAGCAGGGCAGGGCCGAGATGGGACGGGGGTAAATGTCAGTTCATCCCTGCTTTCGTCTTCGCACGGATTTATATGGGTACCTCCGTATACGTCTATCGTTTAATACGTATGATTCATCCCCAGTCTAAACAGAACGAATTTGGACGAATACTCATTTTTATTCGGTCCACTGTCATCCCTAACTACAATCCCATCTCACCCACGTTGTTTCATACCTCGAAAAAAAAAAAAAAATCGCACAGCTTGCTCATAGTACAAGTCTCACTTATATATGTATTTGACCGAAGAAACATTAGACAAATTAGCATTATAGCCCTTTTGGGACTCCATAGACCAAGATCTTTTATTACAAGAGATATACTAATCTAGTTTAATAGATCATATGGGTGTGACGTTTGAAATAGAATTGACAATGCCTCATCTCATACTTTTAAACTATATTTTATTTATACACAATCTATTTATCATCGTATATAATCTAATTTGTGTTGTGTATAAACTATATTTAATCTTGTTCATTCAAGTTCGTATAGTATTTAATTGAATTCAAATCAACCTATGTACTTAAAAAATTTGATAGTCCCATTGATTTACGATCCATATCCACTAATTTCGTATCAATTTAATAAAATTGCCAGCTGGTATAGTGTGGGCAGTGGGTCCCGGGTTGAGATTTGTGTGTGCGGCGGGGAAGGGAACTATCTTTTAGAGCTATTTGGTCACAAACAGAAGAGGGCAAAAGGCTTATCCATTGGTGAAGCGTTCATGCTTCAAAAAAACAACCTACCAGCATTATTAGAACTCACGAACTTCATCAGCATTTTGAATGGTAGATGCTCCACAAAGGTGGAGTGTAAAAATGCAGCAAAGAAGACACTCGCTACTCACTGGGGACCCATTAGTACTATAAGTTAAACATTAGAACATAATATGAGATTTTATAAATTTTTTTTTTTTGCCTTCGGGTCCAATGGAAAAGTATTATTTTGGCACAGATCACAGTTAATTTCGAAACAAGAAAAGAATAAGTATTTCTGACACCAAGTCAAGTCAAAATAATACTAGCCGGTACTCAAGTCAAGCCCTTGAATGTCAATCTCGCTTCACCTCTGGAGGCAAGCTACTTTTTATCCCAAAGTATGAGGAATGACCACCAACTCGCATTTTGTTTCAGCTCATATTAGGAGAAACCTTGAAAGTAGAAGTAATAACAACCAATCTTATAGGCTTCAAAAAAAAAAAAGAAGGAGAAGACTGCAAAAGAAAACAGGAAACAGAAAGTAAAACAGCCTAAACACCAAACAATAATCATACCTTGCCAAATCTTCAGGGACAGGTTTTCTAGAGCAACTTGTTATCTGAAGAAGAATCCAAATATGAGATTACAAGATCAGCTGCTTTGCACCCAGAAGTTATTGCTTTGCCAACAGACAGTCCTCCCTTATGGTTACCTAACAATTTTGTGGTTTACATTAGACTAGGATTGTAACAAATAACAGCAATTACTCTTTTGGAAAAGAAGGGGCCTAGAAATTAGGAATCACAAGCACAAAAGGAAATTAAGGCTAAGAGTACTAAAATTACTATTTAGTCATCAGCTTGTAATTTTTTTGGCAACATTATAGTTATGCCCAGGTCATGATGAAAGCATATGTACATTCCTATTTCCTCGTAACCATATCTGGTAACACAACTAGAGAATGAAGAGAGGATGCAGTAGATTATTCATTATTCCCTGTAAGTCGAACAAATTGTTTTAAAATGGTATTGATGAGTCCATATATAACAAGTTCAGTTTTCAGAGTGTGCAAGGTCTAAATTGCCTTCAACAAGCTGGAGGTGAAAAAACTTGCATCCTATTCAAAGTTTCTTTTATCCTAAACTTGGTGTAAATCAGAAGCTGCCTCCTCGAACAGAGAAAATAACTTACCTGCATAGAAGAATCCTGGAAGGTTTTCTTGCATTTTCTCAATTGCCTTTATAACCGAATCATAGTTACGCCCATAGAGGGGAAATGCTTTACTCCAGTAGAAGTGACTGCAAAGAAGCACAGAACATGTAAGAACATAAATATGTAATAGATATTCAAAAAGCCTATCAGACTAAAGCCTATAAATTAATGAAATCACAAATGCACAGCATTAACAATTTACATACTTCACAAATGTCGGCTCTCCCTCTGCACCCCACCAACCTGTCTAAGGTCAGAAGTTACTATCTGTTTCAAGTCATCCCTATAACCACAATGAAATGAAAAAGACACAAGAAGTAACAAACTCACACATTAACAGTCTAATTAATAAATGCAAAAAAGATGGGAAAAAGTAAATATACAAGACAGTCAACAAAAGCACAAGAATTGAGGATGTTTATACTTTGAAGCCTTTGCCAATTCTCTGTTCCGACTTCCACCAACAAAGGTGGTATAAAGGTATACATCACTGGGTGCACGATCTGGAAACATCATAGAAGAGAAGAGAGTTCCTGCATCACAGAAAATCTATAGTGACAATATTGGGACTATAATTAGTTAACCTTAGAGGGCATAGCTAAGCATTACCCAGAGTCTTCAAACCATTTTGCTGCTCTTTGGAAGGTATAAGAACTCCAAATCCCTCAAGAGGTTGCTTGACATTCACCTTCTTGAATGTGGTGATTATAACAGATACTGGCAGATAACTCACCTGCATTATTGACAAGATATGCCACTGACTCAGCTGACGTACACCATATAAAAGTTAGCAGCTTTCTGTTGTTGTCTGCTTCCTATCTACACAGGCATATTTTCTTAGCTATTAATACAAATATATTCTTTAGTAAATGTCTTGATTGTAATCACAAAGCCATTTAATGAAGTTCATCCAATAAATTTCCCAGCTGAGCCACTGGAAAAAAATGTAGAACTAAAAGTGGCAGGTAGTAAGTACATCATAAAAGTTGCTCACATTAAACTGTTCACTTCGATAGAAACAACTGCTTGCTATTCATGAAACATCACACACGTTGAAAGCATAATGACTGGGTATATTTACTCAATAAATAAATAAATATATGTATACACATGTATGGATATATAGCAACTAGATTCTTATAGATGTCTTTGTGCATTTATGCATGATTGCATTCTGAACATAGTCACGTACTCTTTTGCTATGTCCAGGTGCACATCTCTCTTTATTGACACAATATAAACTCTGTGACTTCATAAAACAATTAATCTTCACACACAGTTTAGAATGCTCACAACATGTTTTTAGTAAAACCAAACAAACACATACCTCAGGGAGAAATTCCAGCGGAAATGGATTTCCTCTTTTTGTGATCTTCAATTCTCTTACATCATTGAGTGGAGCCTAATTTAAAGGAGCTCATTGTCAGCAAAAAATAATGTTCCTTCATAAGCAGAACTAAAAAATATAGGGTGTTGCAATTGTATCTACACATAAGCAGAACTAAAAATTATAGGGTGTTGCAATTGTATCTACACGATATGTTCATGTGTGTGCATGCATACAAATTACTTTCTGCAAGAATCTACTGGTCAAG